GGGATGGGGGGGGTGTTGCGTGAGGGATGCTTCCCCCGGGGCTGCATCCCGGAGGACTGAGCATCCCGGTGCACCGGGAGAGCTCCCCTCCCTGTTCCCATCGCTGCATCCCAGGGTTGTTTCTTGTGCGGGGCCAGGTTATATTCTTGCACAAGGACTGCATTTCTGCGTGGCATCCGTGGTTTGCACGAAAATCGTCCGTCCCCGCGCTCCCTCCCCGGTGCGGCGGGGGCACGAGGGGGGGGGGGGGGGCGCTGAGAGCTGCTGTGCTGCAGTGCCGGGCTGACCTTCAGCGGAGCAGGGGGATGCGAGCATCCGACCCTCTCAGCTTCCCCTGGGGCTTGCTGGCCCTTGTCCCCTCTTTGTTCGTGCAGCACTTTGTGAGGGGCAGGATGAGCTGACCATCCCCAAAAGCAGAGACTGGGTCCGTTTAATTCCTTGCTGCGAGAAGCAAATGTAATGAAATTAAACCTCCCCTCTCTTTCTGATGGCTCAGTCCCAGCAGAGGAGATTTCTTCCTCGCTGCTTCCCTGGAGGATGCTGCGTGCCTTGGTGGGACTCGAGAGGCACCAGCAACGCAGATGCTGTGTTTTGGGGCAGTCCCCAGGCATGGTGGCGTGAGGCCTTGAGCAGCTACAAGAGTGTGCGTGGTTCTTTGCGGCTCCATGGGACAGGCCCCGTCTCCTGGGTGAACCGCTGCCTTCAGGGACCACTTCCCAGCCCTACCTTGCACCCCGTAATTAGTTAATTAGGCAGTTGGGAGTTACTGCTGTCCTCTCTCTGCCCTACCTGCTGCTGAGCTAACCTTTAAAGTGGCTCGCTCTTTGCTGTTCAGAGCTGTCTTTGCGTATCCAGTAACGTGAGGTGGATTTGACCTTGTGCAAGGTTCCAGTTTAAGTACTCTGGGGTCATTTGAAGGTGCTGAAGTGGTGTGTAGGCAAGGTAGCCTGCAGGGTTTTTATGTAGGACTGAATTTTTCCTCGTTATCCGCACCCCTGCAGCTACCGATGAACAGCTCATAGCGCCTGGGAACGCTGGAACTGGTAACCCTAGGTCTATCGTAACAAATTGGAGGCAGTTTCCTTTGTGCTCCAGTTTCTCTGTTTGCCAGGCTCACCCTTACAGAGCGTGGAAAAAAGCTCTGGGTGCTGTGGAGTCCGGTCGGTGCCCTCAGAGGCTGCGCGGCAGCTCCTACGCGTGCCAAGGCATCGCTCCCTTGGAGAAATGGGTCACTCTTGTAATTGCAGAAGAGCGAGGGGGGTTGATCTGAGCTGGTTCTTGTGGCTGCATCTGCATCTGCATCTGTCACAGTGATGAGATGCAGGGAGAAATTGTCATAGCATCAGCTTTCTGCCAGCAGATGAGTGGAAGAATGGCAGTAGGGAGAGACAACTCTCTCTCCATAGATATATTTAAAGGATCTGAAGCTTTTCTCTGCTTATTCTGCTGGAGTTGCTATGGGAAAAGCTGGAGGTCGTGGCTTTCCTCTGAAAACTCTGACAGTATTTAGGAAATCGGTTTGTACTGCGTGTTCCCTAGATGGGCAACGTGGAGTGGGGCTGCTCAGGAAGAAAACAGGGGAGGAAAGATCTGTGTAACCGTGGGAGGAAACTTCTGTGCTCAGGGCTTTGCTTCTCAGTGCAGACTTGAGGAGCATCCTTCCTGATTTAGAACCTCTTCACATTCCCTGCAAGAACTGAAGCACGGTTATAAGAATGAATCCCCTTGGTGTCTGGTGAACGCTACCTTCCTGCACGTTATTTAGAAATAATAAATCTTGCCACCTGGATTGTGATTCTCAGCGTCTGAAGAGGAAGTGACTCGACCACAGGGCCTTGAAGCCTGGATCATGGCGTGCGCCTCACTCAGACCACTCCTCTGTGAAAGGAGCGCGTTGAAGCCCGCATCTCTTCCTGTGCCGGCTGCACTGCCCTGTTTTGATCCATTTTGAGGTTGGCTCCTTTCTCCCTTCCAGGACCGTGACAGTGTTTGTCCTGCAGCACCTTTGTCACAAAAGGTCTCGGTTGGGTTGAAGTGGTGACGGTTGTGCCTGTGACAGGAGGGGTTTGTTAGGGTCTGAAAGAACAGACTTTCACCTTGTGACAAGGGTAGGTCGGTGCCTGTGCATTAGATGTGGTTTTTACCTTCATCCGTAGAGCAAAGATAATTTTGGGACTGTTGCCTCCTCTTCACAGAATCCTTACTTGGTGCAAGTATGGAAAGGGTTGCTCTGGTGTAGGAAAGGTCCCAGGTAGCTGAGCAGATGTGGGTTACTGGGGAGGGAAGGACCAAAGTCAGCTGTGCCAGGGGCACTGGTGAGTTGTATCCTTCTCTTCTGGGGTCTGGAGCATCTCCTCTTGGTCCCCTTGGCTTCTGAGTGCACAAACTTGAATGATGCTCAGGGCAGGTCTGGCTGCAGACCACCCTCAGAGGTGAAGACCAAACCGATTTTAGGCACGTTCCCATCCCTGAAGCCTCCTCAGTTTGCACACCCGTGTCCTCCTGCTGCAGTCAGTGTCTGAGCTCTGTTGGTGTCTGAAAGCTGCTGTCCTCGATGTGTCCCCTGGCTGCAGCAGGGCTCTGAGGAGTTTAATTAAAAAGCAGCAACCTGAGCATCTCTGCGTTCATGAAACGTCCTGGACGCAGCTGAGCCCAGCAGTGCCCAGGCCCAGCACTGCTGCATTGGGACCACGCGGCTCTGCCTGGGAAAGGCTCAGTGTCACCTCCATCCTTAACGGCCTTTCCTCTGCTGTGAGTAAATGCTTCCCAGTTTTGGCACAGGCACTAGTCAGCTTGCTATCATCCTGCTGGTGTCAAAATTTGGAAGGCTTTGCAAATTTGTAAAATTCGCAGTGTCCTCTGCAAGGAAAAGTGTTGTGTAAATTGAAAAAAGTGCCCTGGACAGCAGGGTTTCTAGGTGAGTGATACAGAACAGCCCCAGGAAGGATGTGTAAGCCAAAAATCAAGGGTCCCTGTTATCCCTTCCACTGATTTATGCAACTTTTCTCCACCTTTTGGTATTGTCAAGACTTGTTTTTTCAAGCCCCAGCACTGGACGTGTGACTTGAGAGGGGGGAATTATCACTGTCCCAAAAACTGGCCCCCAACCATAATCCCTAGGAGAGCAGAGGACGCAGACGGAGCCCAGCTCTGCCGTCTCCAAGCTCGTCCCGCTGGTTTGCAGCCCAAACCGTGGAAGCTGGAGGGGAGGAAGCCACAACAATGGCCCTTTTCTTCGCCCTGGGGAGCGGAGCAGCGCGGGGGCCGCTCTCCCGGTGCCGCTGTGTCAGCAGCCGGGCATGAGGAGGGTTTTTGGCCCCCACAACACCCTGCAGGCAGCTGGGTCTCGTCTTCAAAGGGTGTTGTCCTCTGCTTTTCCCTCTTGGGGCAAGTTTTAGTGCTTGCTGAGGAAGAAATAACTATTATCATAGTGGGTTTTTTTCTGTGTTTATCTGGAAAGCATTGTCCAGCATCTAGCACAGGTTCCTGGTGTTTTAGCTGCTGAACAGGTGGGGAAACTGAGGCAGGGAGCAGCTCACGGCTTGGTGTGCGGATGGCGCAATGAGGGCTGGAGCTCCCCATGCTGTGCTCTGTTCATTCCCCTCTCCTTGTGGTGTGGGAGCCGCTGCCCTTGGGCCCAGGGGCTCCAGGACACTCAGTTTTTTGGATTGTCAAGGTCTTTCCTCCTGCAGGCTCTGTGCCCTATTCCTGCCGTGGATCCAGGCTGGGCACAGAGGTGACGTGGTCCCTCGAGGCACTGTTGCAGCCACCGAAGGGACAGGAGCTGTCGATTGTGGCCGGGTTTCAATGTGGAGCTCTGCTTCCTCATCATTATGGTCTGCAGTGAGAAAAAGCTGATGTGAAGCTGCCAGGTCCCTGCGCTGAGGATGCTCGGTGCCAGCCGTCCCTTTGTGCTCCTCGGGGGAACTCGCCATGCCCAGGAGCCAGACATGGCTGGGATTTGGCTGGGCCCCAGTCTCTGTGCTGGGGAGATGGGGGCGGTCTGGGGGGCACAATTCGTAGCTTCTCGCTGCAAAGCCTCCAGGCTGCAAGGACTCACGTCCTGCTGCAGGTTCAAGGGGACTGACTGCCTGTTCTCCTCTGGTGCCGGGGGGTGTAAAAAAGGGAGAGAGCATGTATCTGCTCTTTTTGCTGTGAGTACTTTTTTTGACACTTCAGCAGAGCTGTGGGCAGCGATGGTTTCCATTCGATTTTACTTTCCAGCTCCAGATCTCTCTCGCAGCGTGCGCTCACCCCCGGCTTCGCTCCTTTCCCCCCCGGGTCGTGCAGGGCCATGCTGCGGGGGAGTGGGTGATTTTACCGGTGAATCAGAAGATGCCAGGAAGGTTTGTGTGGGGGTAATGAGGAGGAGGAGAGAGGAAGAGCTGGCGCCCTTTAAGCGAAGCCCTGCTGCATCATTTGCCAAGAGCCTTGGGCTCTTTCAGCCGAGCCAGATCCGCTGTTCCCACCGCAGCACCCGTCACCCATAGCAACAGGCATCTCTGCAGCATTGCCATGGGAACGGAGCGGGGTAGCGGGAGGACACCCCCCCACCTCACACATCTCCCACCTCCAGGCTTCTGCTGGCTTGCAAGTGGCCCAGGTTTGGTGGGGTCTTTTTTTTCTCAGGACATTGATTTGTCCCCCCAGCCCCATGTGTGGATCAGTGATGTGGGAGATGCTGAGGGATCCCTATGTCCCGTCAAATGCCAGGAGTCTCAGTCGCATGTCCCTGCCCCAGGGGTGATGGTCCTTGTCGCTGGTTCTGATGGTCCTTGTCACTGGCTCTACCTGCCCGGGGTGGGAACGTGGTGTTCCCAGGTAGGGAGCTGAGGTGCAGGGATGGGAAAAGCCTTGGCTGGTGCCGGGCAGCGAGGCTGCAGCAGGGATTTGCGCTCAGCATCCTCAATCCAGCCCCAGCCAAGGAGGGCAGGGGCTTTGCAGCTCGCTGTCGTGTTTGGGTCCTGAGCTGCTTCTCTGCCCCTTTCTATGGGAAACACAAATAATTCATGCTTTCTGGGCTCAGGGCTTTCTGTCTCTGCATTATTTATTCACCCTCCAAGCTTCCTCCTCTTTTTCCTGCTGTGGCTCCTGTTGGAAGACGCCTTGGCAGCGCCACGTCCCCGATCTCGATGAGGATGGCTGTGCTCTGAATGCGGGATGTGCTGGGGAGACCGGAGCTCGAGCAGGGACTGACAACTTGGCAGGGCTTTGTGGGGCCACCGTTGACCTGCGCTGGGAAATTCAGAGCTTGGGACAAAGCGCCTTTAGACTGTGACGATGCTTGTAGTGGGATCCTTTGAAAAATCTGATGCAGAGGGGGGCTAAAAGCCAGACCAGGCCCTGCTGGGGGACAGCTGGGGCCTTAATATAGCTTTTGGGTATGGAGGGGCTGAGTGTCGGCTGCAGAAAGTGCTGACCTGGGCAGGGTACGGTTACTTTGCAGGCATTTTGTTTTCATCCTCAGCTTATCTGGTCCCTCCCCAGGGAGCTGTCGGCTGAGGGCCTTCGGGTGTTATCTGTGCCCGTTCCCTCCGGACCTTCAGGGCCGCTCGGCTGCTCCTGGGGGCTGTGGAGCTCAGCAAATCTGAGGTGATGAGGAGCAGAAATGGTGCCTGGTGTTGCTCGGCTGCCACCGAGGTGGAACCTCCACGGCCAAACAAAGGGCACCCTTGGCACAGCATCACCCGCTCCCCTGCACACTGAGGGTAGCACTGGCAGCTCCGTTTCACTGCTGAGATGCTGAGGCTGTTTAACGCTGGGAGTTTGCTTTTACTTTGATTTCCAAGCTGTCCCTGGTGGCCCTGTGCTTTCACTATTGCAGGGCATGAGCGTGGAGAGAGCCGGGTTGTGCTCATCATCATGGGGAGCTCAGGGTGAGAAAGTTTCATTCTGATTAATGCAAGCAGCCCACAGAGCTGCTCACCCTCCCTTCCCTTGGCCATATTTGGGAAGGCTTTGCCTCCTATTTCTGAGTGCCAGTGGGTGGGAGGTGGGGAAGAAACGACAGAGAGGGAGAAAACCAGCAGCGTTTTGGTGCTGGTCAGCTAGAAAAGCTGCTTGGAGCATCGTGGGGTGTGAAAGAGCAAGGGGTCTCAGTGCCCTGGTTGTTACTGAATCGTTACTGGTCGCACATGCAGGGAGCCCAGTGCTGAGCTGGTCGGGAGCAGCAGCGTCTTAGGACTCTGCAAAGCCTTTGGTTCCTTGGTTAAAAAACTCTTTTTTGGGAGCTGGCAGTGGTACAAGGTCTGTACACACCTTATTGTGCTGTTACAGCTTCCTCTTCTGGGTTTCCTCATGTGGATAGGGCTCGGGGTTTTATTTTATTAATCATGGACTCTGTTCTGCCAGAGCCGGCTGTGGTCAGCCCCGGTGATGGAGCAGTGCCCATCTGCAGTTGCACGCACCAGGCATCTGCCTTCTCCTGTCTGGTCTCGTAGTGCACGCAGGGTTCTGTGCTGGAGTCTCTTGGAGACTCAGTGGCCTCTGCCCCGAGCTCCCATAGTTTTGCCCTGTGTGATATTTCTCCCTCTTCCTTGCAGCCCTTCGGGGAGTGGTGCAACCTGCAGCCCAAAGATGCTGCCAAGATGCCGGAGAGTGCCTGGAAGCTGCTTTTCTATTCATTATCCTGGTCGTATGGCATCTACCTGCTCTTCTTCACTGATTACCCCTTCTTCTATGACCCACCATCTGTATTCTATGGTAAGAACCAGGGAGAAGTGGGGATGGATTAGGATGCCCGGGGTCATGGGGTGTCTGGGTTGAACAAGGGAGTGGGAGCTGGGGTGAGCAAAAGAGAAGGCTGAACTCTCTAATTGCTTTTTCTGTGGAGCCATGGGTACAGAAAGGGCACAAGAAGAAAGGGCTACAGGTGACCTCCTGGAGCGTGAAGTGCTTGGAGCTGCTTCCCGCTGTTTGCTCTCCTGGCTCTGTGGCTCTGGGCTCATCCAGGTGTCTTTGTGCCCCCCAGGCTGGAAGAAAGGCATGGATGTGCCCACGGACATCGCCATTGCCTACCTGTTGCAGTGCAGCTTCTACGGGCACTCCATCTATGCCACGGCCTACATGGACACGTGGCGCAAGGACTCGGTGGTCATGCTGCTGCACCACGTGGTCACGCTGACCCTCATCGCCTCCTCCTACGCGTTCAGGTGAGGCCCCTCGTGGTGCCACCGCGTTGCTGTGCCAGGTTTGCTTGTCCGGGTTATCAGGGTATCAATCGCAGCATGGTTGGGTGGGAAGGGCTCTCTGGAGCTCACCCAGTCCAACCCCTGCCAGAGCAGGGTCACCCAGAGAAGATCACACAGGAACATGTCCAGGGGTTTGGATGTCTCCAGAGAAGGAGACTCCACAGCCTCGGCTATGCTCTGGTACCCTCACAGTGAAGCAGTTTTTCCTTATGTGTAGGTTTAACCTCTCATGTTCCAGTTTGTGACCATTGCCCCTTGTCCTGTCACTGGACACAGCCGAGAAGAGCCTGGTCCCATCTTCCTGACCCCCCCCTTTAGATATTTCTAAAGAGCTCCCCCCTCAGTCTCCTCCTCTGCAGGCTGAGCAGCCCCAGCTCTCAGCCTTTCCTCCTATGAGAGATGCTCCAGTCCCTCATCATCTCAGTGGCTCCACGCTGGGCTCTCTCCAGTCATTCCTTTTCCTTCTTGAACTGGGGACCCCAAAATTGGAAGCTATATTCCAGATGTGGCAGAGCAGGAGGGTGTCTGTCTGCTCCCAGTGGACATGCACTGGGCACTAACACGAACCACAGCCCCACACATCTCCCTCCCCGCTCCCCTTTTTGCTGCAGGTACCACAACGTGGGCATCCTGGTGCTCTTCCTGCATGACATCAACGATGTCCAGCTGGAGTTCACCAAGCTCAATGTCTACTTCAAGCACCGAGGAGGGGTCTACCATCGCCTCAACGATGTCATCTCCAACATCGGCTGCCTCACCTTCAGTGTCAGCTGGTGGGTTTGGCTCCCTCACCCCTTCCCAAACCTCCTCTCCAGCTTTTCCAGTCCCCTCACCAGTGCCCCAGGGCACGACCAGCTGTGTCTGTGTGCATGGGAACCAGCCCTTCCAAAAAGTATTTGGGAAGAGGTTTCCGCAGAGCCTGGCCCCATGCTGGGCCTGGAATCCTTCTGTAGTGGCTTTGCCGTCTGTCACCACTGAAGTGCCTGTGAAATCTCGCTGCCAGCGTGACAAATGACCCCGGGGGAGGAGGAGCTCTCTCTGTTTTCCCACTCGCTTGGTTTTAGCAGTAAGAAGGGGATGGGACGTGGGTCTGCCCCAGACCCCAGCCCTGCTGCTTCTCCTGGGGCAAGGCAGGAGGGGACAGATAAAAGCTGAGGAATGGAGGTGGGTGACTCGCAGGTTGTCACTCGTTTGTCCCTGTGTCTCCATGGGCTGCTCTGAGAAGCAGGGGTGGCAACCAGAGCCCTCGGTGTGAGGGGAGGAGAGCAGTGAAGGTTTTTAGTGATAAATTAGGGATGCACAGGGCTGAGAAAACTGTCCAGTTGTGTCCCTCTCCGTCCTGTCCACCCGGAGAAAGGCCTTTCTCTGGTGCCAAACCTCTTCTGCCTTCAGAAGTTGTGTTCCCCCATGGGCAGCTGCCTTTTCACAGGGGCTGTGGGAACCAGTAACGTCAGGCAGATGCCAGGTTTGGGGGTGCGATGGGAGCTGGTGAGGGCAGTGCTGGGTCTCCTGGACTCTCTGGGGGCCGCTGAACCGACCCCTCCCTCTGCCCCCGCAGGTTCTGGTTTCGTCTCTACTGGTTCCCCCTCAAGGTACTCTATGCCACCTGCTACTCCAGCCTCCAGATGGTCCCCAACATCCCCTTCTACTTCTTCTTCAACGCTCTGCTCCTCATCCTCACCCTGATGAACATCTACTGGTTTCTGGTGAGTGGTAAATGCTCCAGGGTGAAGGGAGTGGATTTGGGGGGCTCATGACAGTGAGCTCCACCCTGTCAGAGCTGGGCAGTGTCCAAGCTCATCGTGCTGTGTGGATGACATGGGTTGAAGGCTGTTTTGGGGCTCGAAGCCTTGGGTTTGGTGTTTGACGGAGTCTCTCCCCCTGCAGTACATCGTCCTGTTTGTGGCCAAGGTGCTGATGGGGCAGATGCAGGAGGTGAACGACGTGCGCGAGTACGACGTGGAGGACAGCAAGAAAACTGCAACGGCCAAGAAGAAGGAGGTTGGACTGCAGCTGCCCAGCGCTCTGAAGGAAGGGTATGTGGATGGGGATGACACGGATGTACAGGATGAGAGGAGGGGATGGAGCCACTATCAAAGGGTTCACTGCTGGGCTGGGAAACAAGAGCAGGCTGCCTTGTGTTACTGCCTTTATTGCCTTGCAGCAATAAAACATTGCTGCAGGTATCAGGAAAGTCTCTGTATTGTGCAATGTGGTGTGTCCATCCATCTTTCTATCCCGAGAATTCTCACCCACCCCTTCCCCTGCTCACCCTGTAGGACTGGCTCCTTGCCTGAGGCTCTTCTCTGAGCAGCATCTGTGTTTCTTGTGGTGAGCACAAAATCCAGCGAGGTGCTGGACCCCCCAACGCAGGTCTGGCCGGGGACAAATTGTGTGAACTCGTCGAGGCAGTCTGACCTTGGTAGGGATTTGTGAAAGGGAGGGAGAGCCCAGGGCTCACTGCTGTGCTTTCATTCGCAGGATGCACCTGAAGAATGGCCTGGTGAAACCCAAGCGATCGTGAGGGATGCGTGGCTGCTGCAGCCTGGCTGGCTCTGGGGACTGACCCGGGACCCTGCGCTCAAACCCAGCAAATGAAAGGCACAAGGAGAAAGAACTTCACCCCCAATCCCCTTCACCCCCTGCCCGGCGCTGGGGAGGAGATGCCGCTGTCAGGACCAGGCCCAAGCGGGGGCTTGCCTGTGGCCAAGCTTCACCCAGTGCTGGTGTGCTTTGTGTGGCCAGGCCGTGCTGGTTCGGGTGAGGGGCTGGTGGCTTTGCTGGTCCAGGTAGGATTTGGAGCTGGCTTTAGGTCCCCTGGTATTTCTGCTGTCGCCCCATCACCTCGGCTTCTCAGTCCCCTTGTGACTTCCCCTGTCTTTATTGTTGGAGCCTCCAACCACCCCTTCCTCAGGAGAGTCCCCAGACCCAGTATCAAACCGGGGAGGGAAAATGTCCTCTCCCCTATTGGCATCACTGTCCCAGGAGCCCAAAGCCAGCTCTTCTCTAGCTGCTGAGCAGGGATGGAGAAAGGTGGGGGGGCAGCAAACCCCCGAGTCTTCCTCTAGGAGGGGTCACTGCCCATGCCTGGGGACACAGCACAGCCCCCTGGGTAGGTCTGCCTGGAAACCCCAGCCCTGGAGCTTTGGATGAGGGCTAGGAGATTTAATTTGCTTTAAAAAGCTGATGTAAGTGTTATAGCTGCTTAAAGAGCCAGTCCCATTCCTGCAGGGTTCCCCAGCTAGGGCTCTCTGGACTCTCACCTGTAACGTCTGCTCGCTCAAGTACAGAACAAGTCATTTCTGCTCCTAGTTTTGGATTTCCAGGCAGCACCAGCCCAGAGCCGTGGAAGGGGGGATCCAAGACATTAATTCCAGGCATCAGAGAGTAGTTAATTGTTCTGGAGCGTTTTTCTTCTGGTTGGTTTTTTGGTTTTTATTTTCGTTTTCCTTGTTTGGTCTGTATTGATTCAACTCCAGACTTCTTGTGTGAGCCATGGGGAAAGTTTCTCGTTAAACAGAAAGCAAAATACGGCTTGGGTGGGTGGAAACTGTCCCATGCTACGCAGGATGTCACCTTCTCGCTCATCGTCGCCTGGCGGGGATGCATCTCGGTGCTTTAGCTCCTTGGTGGGATTTGCAGGAAGGGGGCAATGGAGGAAACCGATCTCCTGGGCCTGTTTGCGCTTGGCTGTAGCAGAGCTGGGGCACTGCTGGTGCCAGGTTGGGGTAATGGGGGTACCCATACGTGTGGGTAAACCGTGTTTTGTAGTGATGGCTTGGCCAGGTGGGTGACAGCCGGTGCTGTGTGTGACACTGGGGTGCTGCAGATTTGCTGGAAAGGGGCTGTGGGATCTGGGAGGCCATGGGGCTCCCTTTGCCTGCTTGGGTGCCAGACTGGGGGTGCTGGTGGCTTTTCACGCTGGCTTCTGTGGGCAGGGTGGAGGGAGCTGAGGATTTGATGAGCTGAAGGTGTGGTGGTTGGGTGTGCTGGGTGTTGATGGCCTTGAGAGAGAGGTGTTGGATGCGGTGATTAGGGGGGGAAAAAAAGCTCATGTGGGAGGAGGGAGCAAGAGGAAATGTGGATTTGCGTCTCCTTGGCACTGGGGGGATTTAATGCTTGATTCACTGGCAGTTTTTCGTGGGGACAGTCTCTGTGGCCGTGTGTCCTGCCACCAAGGGCTTTGCTGTTGGATCGCTGTGATGTGGAGATGCTCCGAGGGAGCAGCCCCAAAGGGTTAACAGGCCCTGTTCCCACCCTCTGCCCAATCCTGGGAATCCCTCGGTGCTAATTGAGCACTGAGTGATCAAAGCTCCCATCAGGCAATCAACACCCCTTGTCTTCAGCTCAGGCCGCTCTTTGTCTGCAGCCAGAGCAGAGCAATGTGGCTTCTCCTCAGCTTTCGGGTCTGCCTTGCTTGGCTCCTCCTTGGCATGGCTCTGGGGATGGAGTTGAGCTTGCAAGAAAGTTTGCTGTTAAAATCCCTGGGTCTGAGCACCAAACCCAGCCCGAAAAGCCCCATTCCTGTGCCGCCCGTGCTCTGGAGGATCTTCCAGAGAAGAAAGACGCTGCCCTCTGCAAACAAAGCCCTGGCGGATGGCTGTAGGGTGGAGGAATTCAATGTCCCTGGGAACATCATCCGTGTCTTCCCTGACCAAGGTACAGCAGCGCCGTGGTTTGGGTCCTGCTTTTTGGAAGACGCTCGGCTCTGGGGACTGGGGGACTTTGCTTCTGTCTGTCCCTCTCTCTCGGGGGTAGGGAGGAGAGGCTGGGGGAGGACGACAGGGGAATCGATCTCCAGCAGAAATCCCTGCTGTGTCAGCTCTGGGATGCTATAGAAAATTAATTACAGCTTAGAAATGAGTCTGTAAATGAGGCGGTGGGTGAGGGTGTGGAGTGTCTCCTGAAGTGGTCCAGAGATGCTCCTTTGGCTGTTGGTGGCTTGGCTTGGCCCATTGGGTTCCTGGAGGTGACTCCTTGCTTGAGTAATGTGGCAGTGGGTGCAGGGAGTGAAACCAGCACCCAGCTTCAGGCACGTATGGGATGCTGGGTCGTTTGGCTGTGTCCCCCTTCTCTTTCTTGTCCCCTGCCTCTGCCGACCCTGTGGCATGTTTGCTGCAGCCCGTGGCCACTGAGCCATTCTCAGCACCATGGGACCCATTTGGTGGGGGTTCTTCAGCTCTCAAGACCTCACGGAGCTCGCTCCTTTGTGATTCCGGGTTTCCAGAGGAAACCTAGGGCAGCCCACCAGCTCCTTTCCCTCCATCCCAAACAGCTGGCACCCACAACAGCCCCCCCCATCCTGGGGAAAAAATAATGCATGGAGATGTTAAATAGCATCTAGAGGAGATGCTGGGATGGCTGGAACATCCCAGTGCTGCAGGCTGGTGTCTGTGCCTCCAGACCTTTCTGAAGCCCATACCATTGGGCTGGTAGCCTCTGCCGCAGCCTTGCCATCCTGACCCGATAACTGCAGGGCTGTCCATCTCTGCCAGCCCCATCCTCCTCTTGCTGTACTGCCAGGAGCTGGTCCCACCGAGCATCGCAGGGTTCAACCACCGCCACCTCTATTTCTCCTTCTTTGTCAGGCCACTTCATTCACGAGGGGCAGCCCGGGAGGTTGCTGTGTCTGCAGAAGCGTCTCTACTTCAACCTCTCGGTGCTGGAGGAGGGCGAGCGCTTGACCATGGCTCAGCTGGAGATCAAATTCAGCTGCAACTCCTACCACGCCTCCAGCCAGGGGCAGGTTTTTGAGCTGAGGCTCTACCAAAGCTCCCAGATGTCTCTACGGGGGGTGCCCCCCCAGCGGCACGGACGAAAGCTGCTGGTGGAGCAGTCCTTCGCCCAGCTGCACAAGTCTCTTCTCTTCAACCTGAGCGGGGTGGCGAAGGAGTGGAGAATGTCCAGCAGGAACCTGGGCTTGATCCTGGAGATCTCGGTGAGCAATGGAGACAGTGACCTGCAGAGGCTCTGTGCCAGCATCGACTCCTTCCTGGACACCTCTCTTCTGGTGGTGACCCTCAGCCAGCAGCAGTGCAAGGCCTCCAGGAGGAGGAGAAATGCCCACCATGCCCCCGTCACCCCCAGCAACCTCTGCAAGCCCCGGCGCCTGTACATCAGCTTCAGCGACGTGGGGTGGGAGAACTGGATCATCGCTCCCCAGGGCTACATGGCCAATTACTGCCTGGGCGAGTGCCCCTTTCCCCTGACCGCAGAGCTCAACAGCACCAACCATGCCATCCTCCAGACCGTGGTGCACTCGCTGGACCCCGAGGGGACCCCCCAGCCCTGCTGCGTCCCTGTCAGGCTGTCCCCCATCTCCATCCTCTACTACGACAACAGCGACAACGTGGTGCTGAGGCACTACGAGGACATGGTGGTGGACGAGTGCGGCTGCAGGTAGCCCAGGGGTGCGTGCGCCGTGGGGTCCCGGCTGAAACGATGAGCGGTTGTTGGAATAAATCCCAGTGTGTTCAATCCCCTCGGTGCTGGTGTTCGGGGAGGGTCGTGGTGGGGCATTGAGTGGTGGAGGTCAGCCCTGGGCTGCTCTTCTCCACCATGAAGAGATCTGGCAGAAAGGGCTTGTTATTGGGGTTGTGATTTAGTGATATTTGGGTGCCACCAGCAGCCTGGTACCGGGATTATGACCGAGTCTGGTGCTGGGTGTCTGTTCCCTTCTCCATGGGCGATGGCAGCACCAGGCTGTGAATTCCGGACCCCTCTTGTGCTGGGCCAGCAAAGGTGCCTGCTCAGGAGAGTGGGGCGCTTGTGTTTTGGCTTTTTTGCTGTAGCTTTTTTAGTGCAAAGCGGAATTTATTTGGTGAAATGATGCTCGGTGGTTCCCTGCTGTGGGGTTTGGCCAGGAGGAGGTGACGCGGTGGCTCTGGTCCCGCTGCAGGATGGGGGTATGGTGTCATGGCACAAGCATGACTGAATCCCTTCCCACAGTGGAGGCAGAGCCTGGAGGGGTGTGGGTTTTGCTTTTGTTCTGGAAGCTCAGTTCTGAGCTATTTTTTTTAATTTTGCAGTTGGTGATGGGGCAAGCTGGAGGCAGGGGGTGGATGTGGGTCAGAGCAGCAGAGGTTTGGTGTGAAACAGCCCATGGGAGCCACGGTCTGAGGGTGACGATGGTTTGGCTGAGGAAGGAAAGGGTAAAGCAAAGCAGGGGCAGTCAGTGGCATCTTGCTCCCTCCCAGCTGTGTGTCAGTAATTAATTTACCTCATTTGCAAACTGATGAGAGCAGGGTCCTTGCAGGAGCCAGATGGCAGCTGAGCATCCAAGGACAGCTCCGCACAGCAGTGTTACATTTTAGGGTTATTTTTTTTGTTTGCGTGGTTTTTTAAATTTTATATTACTCGTGTTTTGTTGGTGTTGGCTGTGGTCCCCAGCCCATTGCAGCAGCACGGCCATGCTCTTACCCTGTTTACCACCACTGACGTGCTGTGCAGCAGGGACCCAGCTTTGCACCATCTGCTCTGTGCAGTGGCCATCACAGTCACTTTCCTGTCCCTATGCATGAGCTGTGCCATCCTGGTGGGGGCAGGAGGTTGAGAGCCGTTCCCCGTGTCTGTGTAGCAGGCACACATCTGCAAGTGTGACCCTGGGCTGGGTTTTAGCACCAGCTAGTCCAGGTGAGGTTTCCCTGATACCCTGGCAGCTCTGCTTTTATTTTAGGGCAAAGGGAGAACAGAAAACAAATCAGTTAGACTTGACATTTTTTTGTCTTTTTTTTTTAAATTTTTTAAAAATGTGAACCTGACACCATAGCATAGATTTTTTTTTTTTGATCTGGTTTTGTACTGATGCTGTATTGTCTTCACGGTCTGATGAAGTATTACCAAGCTAAGCTAGACCTTCTCCCTCTGGGAGAAGCACTGAAGGTTTAACCACTGTGACTGATTTGTTTCTGCTAACACCCCCCCAACCTGTGTAGCTGAAGACCAAGCCTGGAGTAGCTCGAGTACCATAGCAGTTGTGTAGTGTACTCACGTTTTCACATTCAAATGTGATCTTGACAGCACCATGGAGGAGCAGAGAGCTCAGGGTGGTCAGCCCTGCTTTACTCCAGCAGCTGAGCAAGAGCTATGCTGAAACACACGTAAATGTTTTAAGGGCTTGGAGTAGGACTTAAATTTAAAATAAATGACTCCTGCTTTCTTAAGATGGGCAGGATTAAGAAAAACCTTGAAGTATTACATTGTTTTGTACCTGTGCCGTGGCCAAGAGCTCCTTTAACACACAGGGGGTACCACAGACTGGCAACTGCCCCCCCTCCACTGCATGATGAAGCTGGGGAGCGGTGCAGCAACCACCAGACACTGAGACAGCCCTGGAGGAGCTGCACTGAGCTTAGAGCAGGCCTAGACACCAACACTGCGCTGCAGCTGACACTGAGCCACCCCTGGGCCAGGTCAGGGCCCACAACCAGAGCCAGGCCAAGCTTTGAGCCACCACCATCACGCAGGTAAATACCATTTTCATGGTTCCTGCAGCAGAGGGGGAGCAGGAGATGCTCCAGCCTTTGGTACCCTCTGCAGCTCCCCCTGCATGGGCACAGCCCCCCCAGGCTGGAGGCAGAGGAGGGAAGAGGGCAGGGCCAGTAACAGCCTTTTCACAGCACATCTGCTTACCCCTGTCCACTATGCACACACCACACTTTTGTACTAGTCTGTGTTTAAAAAAAGTAATAAACTGGAAGTTTATACAATCAGACTAAGTTTTAATGAATGTTGCATGGTTTCATCATTGAAAGGTAGGGGCCACCTTGAATGCAAGAGCTGCTTATTAATATTTTATTGATGACAAACAGGTTTAAAACAAACTGAGACAAAATCAAAGAGTAACACCGTGCTAGCACTGATGTCTGGATTTATGAAACTCAGAGTAACTGCTACAAAGGAAAAAACCAGCACAAAGCAGAGGCAAGCATTCCCATCAGTGAAATAAAGGGGGTGAGGGGAGAGGAGTGGGTTACATTACTCAATGGATTGCATTGCACAGAGGTTTACAGCTTAAACCTATCGGAAAAGTCTATGCAACTACGCAGCCTACAGAAGGAAAAAAATTAAAAAGCCCTTCGGCAATGTTAATAAATAAAACAGTCCATCTCACAAAGAAGGAAGGTGGCCTGTGTCTCCATTCTTTCACATTTTAGAAGTCGAAACTCTGGAGGCTTTTGATGAGAAAAGAATGGTTTTCATTTCTGGCAAGTTTCTTTTGCAGTTCTCGAACCATGTTCGCTGCAGGACTGAACACAAAGTTTGAACACCTGCTCTGTGGTTATGTGCACGCTACTCATGGTTTGTGGGTGTGCTAAACCAGGTCTGCACTGGGGGAGAGACACTCTTGGAAAACTACAGCAAGTACAGGTTATGAAAGCGGGTCAACGATCTACAGAAAGGACAGTAATGAAAGGGCTTCCCCCCAGTTACAAAAAGTGGGTTTTTAATGTCATTTAAGTACATTCATATGAGAGGTATTTTGAGTTCCCCCCCAAAAAAAGACTAGAAACACTTGGAGCCCTTTGAGTATAAAGCTAACGTAATTCAAACCTTAGAAAACACCTATGTTAGTGAATCACACTCTACTGAGCTTTGCCAATTAGGAGGTAGAGGTTAATCTAATTTAGGGATCTGATAAAAATGGGTCCATAGGGATTTTCAATTCTCTGCACTGTTTCTAAAAAGGTTTAGACAGAAATAAAATGCTCCCAGTGTTCCCATATGACTTATTTAAGACATGGGTACAACTTAGAAATTGGATGGCTTCTCTTATGTGCTGTTTTTAGTTTTGACTTCCAGCTATTTCTCAAGCCAGCATCAATGGCAACAGCCACGGCCACTACCTGAAACATAGGCTCCGGGTTTGGTTTGCAACACCTGAATCTTTCAGCTCTCTGCATTAATCACCGAAGAAGCCACACAAAAGCCTAACCCATTATCTCTAATTATACCCAGCTCTCAGAGGCCACCTTCCAACAACTGCCTGCTTTGTCCATTTTCCCAACCTGCTTCGGCAACATTGTAGTCTTTACTTCAAAACCAATATAATCCCCAGTTTCCACTACTTCTTCCCCAGATCTGCGGGAGCGAGTAAAGCAGGCCTGTTTGTTTGTTAGCATCTTTTCCTCCAGGGCCGAAGGGCACAGGATCCCATCCCCTTTCAAGCGCAAAGTTCATCTTACAGAAAGGCTTGTTTTTCACAGAGTAGAGTCCAGACAGTAGCCAATTAAAGCATACAGAAAACACTTTGAAACCCTCCTCCTGCTCGAGCGCGCAGGCTCCTTTCACTCTAACTGCTATCCAATGTAGGAAGAAGAGGCTGATTGCTGCAACTTTTAATCACACTGAAAGTTCTCAAGGTTGATGCTCTAATTTAGTTTTGTTTTAAACTTTTTTTTGTTAAGCTTCTCAGAACAAGGATCTCCCAGGTCCACCACTAAGAATTCAGAGACAAACTTCTAAAAATTCAGTGCTCCTTTGAAAGCATCTCTTTAAAGCCACCTTGTCACAAAAGACTCGTTCAGAATGTGGGCGACACGATGACACTAGGATTTCAGAGCCAGCGCTGGACAACAAAACCTGCATCTCAGAGTTGAGCATCAGCTACGATCTGCTGGATTTCTGCTTGGCTTGCTGTCACTTAGTCAGGAACTCTCTCTCTCTCTCAGATACTCTGCTTCTAAAATGTAAACAGTTACTGCTAAAATATAGTACCCCGTTAAAACGAGAACAACTCTGAGATGAAGGTTTTCCTCTCCCCATCTGCTCTGAAAAGTAATGCCCTGCTCGCAAAGAGAAGTATGGAATGAAGTGAAACCTGCTTAAGGCCCTTCTCTCGAGCGTGTTTGACTGGGGGAGCAGGGACTCAGCTGACCACTCATTTCAGGGTGAGTTGCCTTCCCCGTGAGGCGCCAGCCAGTCCTTCGGTGCTCTCTCTCCTCTCCTGTCAGTCTCCTTGTCTCAGTGAGCTAGCAGTGGGCTCTCTCGCGCGCGCTCCTTTCTCTCTCTCCTCTCCGTTGGTTGGTTTCTTTCTCCTGTTGCTCTCACACAGTGGTGCTTCAGTTTTAGCAGTGGAAAACAGGTATCCATTTTATTTTATTTTTTTTATTACCCAGAATAAAATGCTGATGAACTAAGCTCCACACAAGCTTAGCTCTTCTTCCTCAACCTGAAAACAAGAAAGTAAAACGTTAGGGACATCGCTCTTACAACAAACACCGTGTTCATGAACTTAAATCAGGGACGAAGAAGTAGAGGAGTGAACCTCGGGTGCCTTACACTCTAATACTGTGACAGTCCCGTCACTCCGCCATGTTGATATGCACGTTCACCCTGGTAAGTAGAGTCCTGTGACAGCGCCACGTCAATCTGAGACTTAAACTCATCACCAAGGTAACTGTC